GTTAAGTATAACGGCCCGGCATGGGCAGGAGGTTAGGGCGCAAGACTCACAATCTGTGGGGCGCGGGTTCGAATTCCCGTCCCACCAAACATGCTCGCCCTTTTAACCGTGGAGGCGTTATAACGTAACAGTCAATCCCACTATTCGTTGAGTAAAAGAGTAGCCCAAGAGTTGGATGATTAGTTGCCTTTCTTCTAGTCTTTAACTGCTAAATGAGGGACGGCTAGCGCAGATAGCCCTCGTGTAGCTTTGCGCGAAATTCAAAACAAACAAACCATCGGTAATTCTAGAGTTAAAGGTTTTATTTATCGCCATCTGTTGTAAAAACTTGACACTTCATTGCATTTTTATCCCTTTTGTATAAATTTGTAGATTCATGAAGTTTCAGGCTTATTGTCTCAGTCTTTCTGTTGATGAGGTTCCTTGGGTTACACTACCCGTTGCATCGTCAAGTATTTATAGCTTTTTTATACAACAGACTAAACTTCTTTTTTTTAATTTTTGTACTTTTTGAACATTCTTGAATATATTATTTCCACTTTTCCAGTGTCGATTTATATAAGCTAGACCTTCTGATAAGATATTCAGTACTCAAGATATTCAGATGATTTTAAACAGGCGCCAAAAATCGCGCTCCTTTCGTAACTGATAGTCTAATTCAATGTTTACTAAAATCACTATGTTGTATTAACAGTTGCAAATTTAGTAAACAGAAGCGAAGTCTTTAATAAAGCTAATTTGGCACGTTGAACACTTGTATAAGTTTACCAGTCTGTAACAACATTAGCAAAAAAATCTAGTGTTTCTGAATTTCTTTTTTTTTATTCTGTGACGGATTTATTATTATACATTTATTTTAATATCGATGTTTGTTTAAATTTAATTTATATTTAGAAATGTACATAACGTATACTGTCAAATATGTATTGCGAAACTCCCGCCTATTCTCTAAAGTTGTAGAAAATTCTCGAGTGTAAGAATCAACAGCATATGTATGTACGTAAACGCTAGTGTTGGCGTGAGTATTGTTACGTAAAACTCAAATTTCGAGAATTTCTTCACACGCCTATAAATATAACCAACGCGACACGCCAAAAAAAAATCTATTATTGGATTGCTATAAGCTTCGGAAGCTATAACTGTGATTGTTATAATGCTAATTAATAAGGAATCTTAAGATATTTGACCAGGAACGTTTATAAATTTCGAATATTACAAACCATTTAACTTCAGTGGTTTCACATCGGACATAAGTACTTTTAGTTTTACGAGAACATTACGTAACGTCATCGGTGGAAACTACCTACGTCAACTCGATATTAACTCGTTCATCGTCAACCCTTGATAAGATATCAAGGAAGTTCCAGATTAGAAAGAAGACTTTATTTTGCTTGTAAGTTTGTTAAACTTTTGTATATAAATTATAGTTCGTAATAACTATTTGAAATAACTGTTATTGTAAATTGTATTTTTCTTTGTATATTAAAACATATTTGTAGTAAAAAAGAAAACTGTGTGTATCAATCTTGTTGGCAAATATAAATTGAAGATATATCGGCAAATATTTAACTACTAAATTTAAACTATCATTTAGCTCGGTTTCAGACCTTTCGAAATTGTAATATGTAACAATTATTTTATAGTAGGGACTCTGGTGGAATAAATATGACTGAAAATTCAGTACTGTTTGTATGAAAGATCGAGGATTTAATTCTCAGAATAAAAAAAAATGACTTATTAGAGATGTTTGTAAAAAAAAAATGCTTGCAGGTCGACCAATAGTTGTATATCAATAGTCGTATTTTTTCTCTCTCTGTTATGTGGTGTCCTCTAGTAGACATTATATAAATTTTTATGGACACTTTTCACCCAAATACTTTGACTTAGTAAATTTAAATTTCACGTTATAAAACCAGTATTAAACGGGTGCTGGCGATTTCACAATCACAGTACAACTGAAGCCCTCCTTTACAAAAAATTTTTAATATTTTTTTTAGCTAACCCGCGGGATACCCTAATGCTGGATTACAACTATTGCTACAGTATTAGTTCTCTGTTAAACTAAAACAGAAAGTTTTGAAGTACGCATTTTTCTGCAAAGTACATAGCTTTTTCATCGAACTTATGCGTGTGTGTAGGCTGTTCTGACACGTTCAAAGAACGTTACATTAATTTACAGATGTGACATTACAGTATCAACGTGCATACTCTGCTCACGAGAAGTGACGTCACTGTATGTATGTGTGTGCTTTATTGATAACCGGTACCAAATTAGACCTAAAGTGGTAAGTATTTGTGTAACACACGATCTTAAGATTATTGTAGAGCCAAGGCATACGATATGAATAATATTAACTGAAAAACGTAGAAGGTGACATTTACGTTACTTTCTTCTGTATCCACCAAGCATTTTCAGTTTACTTAACAAAGCAAAAAAATCATCAGTTTGAAGCGAAACCGTGTTACATGTTATACCAGTTTACAACACTAAAATTTTCCCTTCTGTTTTATGGGCAAAAACTATTACATAATTTAAAAAAAGATATTTTTGGTAGTTTAATTTTTGTTACATTTGAATGATTTTATGAAGGTTTATAATAACTAAATTTCTGCCCCTTCCAAGCAGGATCTAAGTGATGTCAATGATCTATTACAAAAGATGAGTTTTCTTTTTCACTGTTGTTTAACTTATGCGAATGTAAGATTTTATAAGCATATTTGTTTACCTTATGCGAATGTAAGATTTTATAAGCATATTTGTTTAACTTATGCGAATGTAAGATTTTATAAGCATATTTGTTTACCTTATGCGAATGTAAGATTTTATAAGCATATTTGTTTAACTTATGCGAATGTAAGATTTTATGTAAGCATATTTCTTCATTTCACTATAGAATTTCTTTCAACTTTTATCGTGAAATGAATAAAATAACTTTTTAATTATGATGAATAAAAGAACGTTGAGACACAAATTCAATTACAACCATTTTTTTATTATTTTTTTTACATGGCGTTAAAAATAACACACAATGACCTGCTCGACAAAGGTGCTTATTGTACAAGTCTATCCAAGATGTAACAAGTAACAGTTCATCAAGCTTCTGGTACTACAGTCTGTAGCTAATAACAACAGTTGTGATGGTTTAATCTCTGGAATTGGAAGGAACAGACAAGAGTGTACAAGAAAAACTCAAACAGATACAGATATGTACATGTATAATATTCGAGCTACACTATATGTAGATGTATATTCTATATCTGTTACCATGCCCATCAGTAGAAAAACGAACATTAACCAATCGATTAACTTAGGTTACATAAACTACCTGTAGTCTTAGTCTAACCCAAGATCACAATAAAAATCAACTATGGTTGCTGGTTATTTCAAGATCTATTAAAGTGATAAAACTTTTGTTACACTCACTAAAATCTAAAAATTGTATCGAGACATTTTTAAAATGTCTTCCGTGGCAAACTTAAAAATCAAAAGTAATTAGTTCCAGAAATGTACTATTTTTCTTAAGTTTGGATATAAACCAACAAACAAAATACAGAACTTAAAAACACTGGAATATTAACTTTTATTCTCTGAACAAATACGTATGGGCACAGTGCACAATTAAATATCTTAAAAGCCTGTTCTTGTTAGAAGTTATTTACAAAGAGTACACTGTACAAAAATAAAATTACAGATTAAATGACTAACTCTAACTTTTTAAGATGAATGAGAAGAACAATTCAATCTCCCAAATCATATGTCAACTTGTCAATAAAATGATTATAAACAAAAGTAATTTTTTACATATTTTGCCACTGTATTCTAGTTTTCCATTTGCAATTATCTTCACACATTCACATGAAAAAGGAAAGTAAAATCTGAATAAGCTAACTAAAATATTAATAGTAATTCAACAATCATTATAATATCAGCCATTTAAGTGTAATTAGATTTTAGTATTGGTTACTTAAGATAACTGTACAGATAAAATGTAAAACATTAAGCCTAAATGGCTGACTGTAACTGATAATTAAAATCATATTTATACCCTACCCTCCTATAAAATTCTGAAATGGACTTTAGCTTAGGTCTAAAACTTTTTTTCTCAGGTGGCCAATCTTGCAAATAACACTACCAGCTTTAGTATGATAACAATTTAATCATCAAAGCAGAGGTTTATTTTCAAAATAAATAAAAATATAGATTTCAACTCTGTCACTGCCATGGTGTTTAGAATTTTGTAATAGCACGAAGAAAGGGTATTCGCCCTTCATATTTTCCAAAAATTACCAATTTCAGCTAAGTAATGAAATATTAAAACAAGTTTTTTTACTGTGTATCTAAATATAAACCTGGCACTGGGAAAGTTGTATATTTATAAATATGGCAGTGAAAAAGAGAGATAATATATTACTAATTTTATGTTCTAAGAAGGTTTGATAAATGACAAATATTGAAAACTTCATAAACAATTTCAAATATTGTACTCTCTAAAGGTATTTAAACTTTACCTTACATAATAGTTTGAAAAACTTCATTATTGTAGATATAATACTGTATTCAAATCTGTATAATTTACAGAATCATAGGTAAATATACAATTTGGACAGATGAGGTACACGAAAAGCTTTTCATATACAATGGCAGCAATCATTCAGACCTGTCTGCATAAAGCCATATTCAATGTCTAGCAATCTGACAAAAAAAATGACACTAAAACTTAATATCTTGGCACTATGTTTATTTTCTTCTTCACAGTGAATGGCAGGAAGGAAAGCTAGTACCTATATGTATATGTTATTGTTTTTAACATAGTACTAGCATTACCCCTAGATACAACATTGTTAGTTCAACTAACAGGAGCTTTGTTAACCCCCCACTATCACTTGTTGGATTTTTTTTTCTGTAGATATAACAATTATCTGATTAAGGGTTTCATGTATTCACTACATTTGAATGTTTTACATCAAATCATACATAAGCACAGAAACATTAAACTAATAATTTGATCTTCTCTGGTAAAAAAAAAATTAAGTACTCTATATATATATACCATTCACAGTATTTCATTAAGGAGCCATGGCACTTAAATAATATAGTTTTAAAAAATATACATTGTTAAGACTCTGCCTGTTCCTTCCCTAGCAAGAATGTGGTTGAAACGATTTGCTACATTCCATGTTTACTAATATCTGTTTACTTCTTAGAACCATGTTGTTGCAGACAAGTAATACTATGTAAGTTTCATGGCCATAAAGAAAAACATTATCCACTGTTTGAGAGGCTACAAAACTAATAAACATAGCATAGAAATAACTTGAATTACAATTTTCATTAATACACAATGCATGCAAAATGTGACACAAACAATCTGATTCAGCTTCAGTGTGATCTGAACTTTCTTAAAAATTAGCAAAACATATACAATGTTTAAAGATATAACTCATAACAACACATCAGTCAATGTCCAGTAGCTTGAGAAATTATATTAAAATTTAATGAACTGGCTGCATCATTCATTAAGGGAACACCACGTGAAACAACTAGTTACAGCCAACTTTTCAAAACAATTTTGATGCTACAAACTCACAGTATAATTTCAAGAGTGGTTACGTAACATCCCAAGTGATCTCTTAGACTTTAAAGAAATCAACATTGATAATTCAAAGACTATTAAGGCATTTCTGATTGCTTCTGCAGGTAGTAAGAATAATGCAAATCTTTGCCCAACACTGTAAATAGAAAATAGGGCAAACTACTCATTAATAATTTGGTGATTTCATCATCAGTGCTATATTTGAAATACCACTTCAACTAAACAATCACATATACTTATATATACCATACAGAAAAAAAATCTCTTTACAATAAGCAGTTATCTATAATTTACCAATAATACCACATCAACAACCTTTGGTATAAAACTACATATCCACTATACAGATCTGACTCCAACAATACATAATCTGTTATACTAATGTGAAATACTAGTCTAGAAAGACAAGAATGAGCTAGTACATACAAACACTAGCTGGTTCTTGAAGTCCTTCATTGTCATTTGAGAGTTGAACAGCTGACAATAAACACAAATTCAGATTTCTTGCTTTTTTAGCCATTACCAGTAGTTCCATCTATACAATGTTTTCTTACTTTCAATACCTCTTCTATGATTCACCTTCCTCATTGGGTTCTTTTATTTTTATTATGAATACTTTTTCTTCTTAGAGGTAGAAATCTCTCTTCACCAATGATCCTTGTAACATTCCACAACTAAATCAAACGGTAGTGGCCCTAATCAAGGGCAGAGGGAAGTCATATCAACTATCGGTTAAAAAATATAAATACTGGAAAAAATTGTTTGTTACCCAGCATTTATGTATACACACATCTGACTAAGAAAAGTATTCCTTTTGGGATTATTGATGTATATGACACACAAGATATATAACACTGGTAATCTATCACAAAGGGCATCACGATGTGCCCCAACTTTCGACAGATACCCGTGGCCTTTTGTTTAACGGGCTGTTATAATCCCCGATAGGATCTGGCGAGGAACGTGTGGACTGTGACAGCTGATGACCAAATGATAAGTGACCTGGCACTGAAGATGGTCTATGTAGAGAAACATCTCGGGAGGGAGAGATTGGCTCATTCTTCACCTTCACTGGAAGAGGAGAAGTGGAGGGGGATGGGGTACTATTACTCACAGACAGATGAGGTAGCATATTGGCCCCTGAAGTTGTGTTGGAGCTAGAGAAAAAAACAGTAATCGTTACTTTGCTAATTTAAGTCATGGTTACAACTAAAATAACATTTTTCAAACAAATCTTATGGCAACAATTTTGATGGTTAATATAAAATGTGCATAACACAAGTAAATAAAAAACAATTCCTGGCTAAAACAAAAGAGTAAAATATTGATGACATGCATATCATATAGTAATCACAAAAATAATTACTAGTCTTAGAAAAAGGAATTACAGAGTATAATGTAGTTTTGTTTGGAAGACAGTTACGTTGAGCTATGCATGCTGTCAAAATACAAGTTTTAAATATATTGTTAGTACAAATTATAATATAAATTGTGTTAAAATATTACTAAGTGACCTGTTACAGATGCCCCAGGACACTATTATACCCTGGGGGAACATATAAACTCATACAGTACTCCCCATCATAGTTTTACAGGGCACCTAGGAGAGAATCCTCAGTAATTAGATATAAAATAATTATTAAAAATGGATGATAAACATCTGACACCCAATGGAATGTATTCAAATAAATTTTCATTATCATACTAAAAAACATTAGAATTACAAGAATCATAGCACCACAACCTTAGCTATTTGAAGTATGATTATTCCAAATTATGAACTCCAACTACAAGTTTATTTTACGGGAATCTTATTAAACATTATATCCATAATACAGTCATGAATCATTTATGTTATTATTATGTCACTGCAGTTCAGAATTGTTGACCTATTCTAAATTTTAAGTTCTTTATTACAACACATAATGGACAAACAAGTCTTTAGGAAACAAGTAGTGATGTGTATAATTTAAGTTAGGTAAGAAAGCTGTAACTGACTTTCTAGAAAATTAAGAAAGCAACAAGACAAAACAATAATATACATGGTAGGAGTGTACTTCAAAGCAGATACTGTAGAACATTACAGACAAATACACATTATGAACTACTGATTGTGCTGTAATATTCCTTACCAACTAGCTCTAAAAAAAAAAATTAAGCTGTATCTTGTTCATTTTAATTTTATATACAAACTGTAATACTAAAAGCAAAATTGAAAGACTGACTTCAAATGAACTCTTTTTAAGTATGTCAGCTTCCTAATCTGTTTCTGTGTTGATTTGAAGAATTTGTATATCTACAAGTATGTGTGTAAGTACATAGCCTTAAGTATGCTGGGTAATACATATCTTGATAGATAAGCTAAGTCACACAAACCTCAACAAAAACACACTATCATAACAAGCATACTTTGTTAGACTTGAAAACCTTAAGCAATACATGAGCTTCATATTCAGACATCCAAGCCAAGCTGATATATACACTGTAATGATAGCCTACAACATGTGTTGCATTTAGTTGATAGCATGTTCTTATATTAAGATATTAGTATACTATCCTACACTTGAAAAAAAACTCTGAAATGAATAAACTCCTATTCTGATCCATCAATACACATTATGCTCACAAATCATTACCAATTTCAAGTGCATAAAACAATATTAGGTGACTAGTTTTTACTAGAATACAAGATCATGAAGTTCATTAATGCAGTTAATATAAGAACCATGTTCAGTTAGATGGTGTTACATATTAGGTGTTATTACTATTCAGAGCTAACATAATATTGAGTTTTGAAATCAACACTTCTCTCACATGCAATATCTAACAGAAATACAAAATTCAATGTGTCATTTGTCCAAAAATATGTACAGGATGCCACATGAATGCATGCTATTCACCATATGTTTCACATCGTATCTATTTTTAGCACAACAGCTGCTACAAAAAATATGCCACTACATACCTATTGTGGCTCATGGCTGCTGCTAAAGATCCCTGCGTAGATGACCAACTAGAAAGCAAGCTAGTAGGGCTAAAACCTGTCAGCCCAAGTTCTGGGTTTAGCTGGAAGTCATCTATAACAGAAAGAATGGTGGTTTGTTCTCATGTATCTTTTATATTACCACTTCGCTGAAGATTGCTTGATTGTGAAAAGCTCACACATAAATATTTAAAGAAATATGTATTACTTATTATCAATCTTATGATATGATATAGATCTTTATTTAAGATATGTTGGGTTTTTTATAGATTACAGCAAAACAATGGATTTTACACATCATTATAGCATGAAAAATAGTCCACATACGTTAAGATCATGACTTCAAAACAGATGTTTCACCAAAATATCAGACATAAAAACTCTTGGCTATTCAAATTATATATATTCAGAAATAAACTAGAAGCATAAACAAATCAAGCTCTTGGATTTAAAACAACAAAAAACAATTTTTAATAGAGATAAATTGCTCTGGTAAAGTTTAGTGACTTAGCCAGCAGGATAGACTGATAAAAGAAACTATTTTTTTTTGCCTCCCTAACCCAGTGAAAATGATTTAAGGCTAAAGGGTAATTTATACTTTATTATGTTTTTAGAGGGGGGAGGAGATAAGGTTAAATACAAGTGTATATGAATACTTAACTGCAGACCAGTATGAGGTAATGTTAAAATAACTACAAATCCTCCACTGTATTTAACTGTATATTGGTCTTTTCTTAATCTCAGTTTGTTTCTCAGAATGCTGATAACACCATAATTGTGAGTAAAAAAAGAAAAGTACATACTTTGTTGAAAAGTGGATGTCAGATTGGACGGATAATTGGCCATTCCTAGAATACCAGGGGTTGTCATGGAAACAACAGGATTGCTCAAAGTACGGGTTGATTGCTGTGGAACAATCATTTTTTAAACTATTTTTGTGAAAGAAGAGCTTTAATATAATGAAGTTAAAATTGTAAGGGAAATAATTATGGAAATACAAGCAATATACATACATGAGTCAGAAACAATGAGTAATAGTAATCAGATGGCAAATTATTAATGGTACAATCAATGATAGAAAATAAAGAGGAAAGCTGAATAAGTTATACAATACACTAATATTCTCTATCTGAGCCATTTGCTTTACACAAAGCATTGCACCTTGTTTTCATGCTCAAATACAGTTTATCAATGTATGATTGGGGACTACTGTTCCAAATGTACTGTATTATTCCCCATAATTCAGCTGTTTGGTTGACTTTTGACCTTCTCAGTCTTTACACAAGCCCATACAGCTTCAAAAACCTTTCACTGTCCTGCTAGAGGATGAATAATTTCCACTCATTAAGTTATGTTCCCAAAGGAATGGCATAATAGATCAGAATCCATCTGTACTTGATCACTGGCATTATTAGCTGGAATGCAGCCCCAAACTTGTACTGATTCCCCCCTCCAGGCTTCACTGTAAATCTTGAACATTGACTATAGTATAGTTCCCGCTATGCTGTTGAATGAATTATCATTGACTGTTTCCAAACTTGAATTCATCTGTAAAAGAGCACACACTTCTAGCTTTGTATATTCCAATGGCCAAACTATTTGTTTGATTACCTCTCCTTAAGGGTGCTTTTCAAGCAGATGCACAGTCGTTGAAACCAATTTATGCTAATGTATGTCTTACTGTTCTTGAATAAACATTCACATCAGTATTTACATCGAGGTAGTTGACAAGAACTGTACTCAGCCATCATCAATATGATAAAAAACGTAGCCTGAGATACTTAACCAAAACTCTCCAAAAGTGATGTTTCTATTTTCTACCTTGATCACTTCTATTATCAACAGTGTCAGTTTCATGTACCATCTACAAAGTCTTGCATACAGCTCCTACTGAAACTTTGTTTTGTATGTAGTATTCATTCCCAGCTGAAACTTTGATTTCTACATGACTGTCATGTGATATTTCAGTCCTGTGAGATATGAATTGATCACAGTACTACTACTGAGCATGGGATAACCGCCTGTAATTTTATAAGCTTTATAATGGTATAGCACTTTTTTGTAAACTATTAACACAAGATTGTACAACCAGTGAATTTTATTTTGACTATAAAGGGGAGGCATTCCTGTAGTGTTTGACTTTGACAAGATTATCATTTATCTTTACTGTTTCCATAATTATTTCCAATACTGTGACTAATCATTCTGTTTACCTCTTCTATAAAACAAATAATCATGGAATCATTTGACATAGTTACTTCTAACAAATAGTGCAAATATAAAAAAATACTGTTTTTAATATAATAACAAAAAATATATCAAAAGCTTTGGGGGGCTATTTTACCATCAATACTATGGCTAACATAACATGCACATAATTTCTACAAAATGTTTATATTACAAATTCAGATCTCACACTCAGCTCTTGAATATTATCACTTTAAAATAAGTTTCATATCTATATGCCTCCATCATGGTATGCTGTTTATCAATATCATAGCACAGAAGAAACTGATGCAATATGCTTTCAGGTTCAGTATGATATAAAAAGATCATTTATAACAACAAATACAAGTATGCATTAAACAAGTTATTCAGGAACCTATAGCAGATCAAGCTTACAAAATAACTTATTACAATATATGTATATGTCTGCACACACATACATATGTTTATATGCTTTCAGGTTCAGTATGATATAAAAAGATCATTTATAACAACAAATACAAGTATGCATTAAACAAGTTATTCAGGAACCTATAGCAGATCAAGCTTACAAAATAACTTATTACAATATATGTATATGTCTGCACACATATACATATGTTTATCTGACTCTTCAAAATTATAGTGAGACATTATGGTACATGGTATTGTTGTATTACTAACAAAGTTTGAATATACAATGACAGTAAATGCTGTTTTAATCTACAAATTACAATGGCCTCACAAGCTGACACATCATACATTCTTACCAAAGACACGGGAGATGTGTGAGGGTTCGGGATGACTACTCTAAGATTTGGTCGCTGAATGCTACCAGCTCCAGGTGGTGAAACCTGTTTATTAAAGTTTCCTTGTTTGTTTGTGGCTAATCCTGGAGAACTGCTGCCTGAAACAACATGAGGAGACACTGATCGGTGATATCCATTTGCTGTACCTCCATTTACATCTAGCAAAGCTCCTGAAAAGGACACTACAAATGTGAGTTTTACTGCTTGCATAGAAAATCAGAAAGTATAATTTTAAACACTATTTACATAGTATTAAGTAATTTATGAAAGCCAATGAGTGAACACATTGCATGGGTTTTGCCCAAGTATTTCTAACACAAAGACTATTTTCAACAACATCCTTAAAAGCTGTATCAAATAACTCACTAGATGTGTGCGCGCGTGTGTGTGTGTATGTGTATATATATATATATATATATATTGGATTGTTGTTTCATTCCTTTTCCTGCCAGCCATTCAATTTACTGAAGTGTGAAACAGACACTTGAGAAAGTAATTTATGAGTAAAATATTTACCACCACATATATATAATTTATATATATATATATATATATATATATATAC